GACACGGTGTCCCAGAACGTCATCAACCAACACACCCAGGGTACCTTGGACGTCATATCTGGACGTGGAAAGTCCATGACCGAACGTCGATGTGTGAAGAGTGAGAATGTGTTGATTGGTGGAGTGGAAAGATGGCTAATATTACTGGGCTAAAAATAGTAAGTCTCTCATTCCAGAGATGTTTAACATTAGTAATATGTTGTACATGACATCATCAACCCTACAGTGTCCTGTCACTTTCACGATACGTCATGATTAAGTCAATATTATTGTGATATTAAATATATAATGATTTATTACCTCTTTTCAACCATAAATTATGTCCTCAAAGGAAAACTTTGTCAACATCTCTTAAGACTGTTGCAGTTGCTCGTGACAGTTTCTTATTTTTCTTACTTTTTACCAACTTAGCTTTCTTTGTACTTTTTTTATTTTATCAGACAAATTATTGAGCTGCGTCCTCTGAACATACAACTACAGAGAGTTCTGGTTTGCTTTTTCACAGTGGAATTGAAACTTTCCTGTTTCATAACTTCCCCTTAAGGGATCAATAAAGTATTTTTGATTCTGAAAAGAAGCAGAATATAATAAAGAGACAGACTGAATGACTGATTTTACATTACTGACAGATGGAAGTATAGATATTGCACAGTTTAACAATACTGATGTTGCACCTGAGTGATTGATTGTAAGCAGTAAAAAATAAAAGCAAGATCATTTGTATTTGAAATATCAGTAACTTAATAACACTTTAGTGTGAGTGCGCTCAGTGCAATGTGGCAATTTTGTTAAACTAGAGATAACGTGCAGATTCTCTTTGGTTGAATACAGCCCTATTTAATTCAGTGTGTAACAGCGGCTCATCATCTATATAGATTATGTGTTTTAAGGTTGTTTATTTGTGTCATGCAGTCATGCATGTATCTTAAAAATGAGATGACAGAATGGAAGAACTGAGTGAATAAACACATTTAAACATATTGTTTGTGTGTTTAGAATATACAGAATATAGCAAAGTACAGTGTTGATAGACTCGAGTAACGACTTGATCGTATTATGATAATTTTCCATCCTTAGAGAATCTTGTTCAAAGAATAACAGGCTGTCAACGTTTGTGACATGACACCTTTCTGTCTTCCTGCTGTTGTTTTACGTCGAACAGGAACAGAGTTGAAACCAAACGTTATCTCTCAGTGCGCTCTGCTGATTTTCCTCTCGTCCTCTCAGACTCGGAGCATGACACGTCATCAAAACTCCGCGAAGTGCTGATGATGTTCAGGACGCTTCTTCATGACGCTGCAGGAAACGACGACACGCCGCAGAGAGGAGTAAAGACTGAAATAATCTGAGAGGTTAACGTCTCTGCACAGACACAGATAAACGCTGTGTTTGTTGTGGATGTGTCGGATCTATTCCGGTCTATTCTGCAGCAGCTTGTACCTTCAGAACTACAAGTAAAGACCTGAATGTGCCTTTGTACCTGCAGCAACTAAAGCCGAGGACTCACCTGAAACACTGTTAGAACCCCACAGACAGAAACACAAAGGAAAGACGACAGAGAGAAAACACCTTTCAACAGGTAGACGACCGTCAGAGCTGCAAATAAATCCCAGAGGACCTTAACTCTCGCCAAAAATAACAGAAATCAAGTGCAGCACACATCTGCTTCACATCATTGAAGCATCATACAGACAAAGAGGCAGTGAAGCTGCAGCAGTCAGAGTGAGAACGTGATGAAACTGCTGTTTTTCTGAAGAGTTGAAGCGTGTCAACACTCCAAATAAGTGTTGTATCATGACAAGTCAAGGCAGCGCCAGAGTGCTGGTTACTCGTGTTGCCCCTGAAGGGTTCAGTAAGCTTCAAATGAAAAAGATTGAACAATGTCTGCAGTGTCTGAATGTGCACACGAGACAGAAAGAAAAGCCTGCTGTCACAGAGAGGGGGAGACACCATCTGCTCTACTAAAACAGCCAACAATTAGTCGATGAATCAGTTAGTCAAATAGCAGAAAATCAATCAGTAATCCTTTTGGTATTTTTTGCGAGTATCAGATAGTTGAAAGTGAAGAGGCAAACAGGAAATGGGGCGAGAGTCAAGGGTATGACATGCAACAAAGGTTACTGACTGCAATAAAAGCGGCGATGTCATATGGCATGAGCTGTTAACATTCGGCTACCAAGGAGCTCCAATCAGAAATTAGGGCGGACACCCAAGATTAGAGTCACAAATTCAGTATCTGGCCAAATGTCTCCCCTTCTGTTCCTTAGATATGACACTGAATAATGGCCAGAAAAGTGTTTTATGTAGAATATTATGATGTCACAGTGAAGTTGACCTTTGACCTTTTGGATGTGGAAATGTCGTCACTTCATTATTTTATCCTGTTAGACATTTGTGTGAAGTTGTGTCATAATTATCATGTTTTGTATTATTATGTTTTGTGAGGTCACAGTGACCTTTGAACCAAATTCTAATCAGTTTATTTTTCAGTCCAAGTGGACGTTTGTGTCAAATTTAAAAATCCCATACAGTTTTCTTGAGATATTGCGTTTACAAGACTGAGATGGATGAGGTCACATTGACCTTAATCTTTGACCTTTGATGACAAAATTGTAATCGGTGACTCAACGTGGATGTTTGTGCCAAATTTGAAGAAATTTCCTCAAGGTGTTCTTTAGATATCACATTCCCAAGAATGAGACAGACAAGGTCACAGTGACCCTTGACAAGCAGATCTAATCAGTTCTTCGTTGAGACCGAGTGAACATTTGTTCTTGAGATAACGCGTTCACAAGAATGGGACGGACGGACAACCCAAAAAAACATAATGGTTTCAGCCCTGGCTGTCACCAGCGCGGAGGCAAAATACTCACAGGTTTCATGTCCTCAGATGTGAGGAGTGGTGGTTCTTCTTTGTCATACATGGCAGTAAATAGAATGGGTACACTTCAGAAACTTGATGTTCTCTATCACTCTGCAATCCGTTTTGCTACAAACGCCCCTTTCAAAACACACCACTGCACTCTATATTCCTCTGTCAACTGGCCATCCTTACACACCCGCCATACTATTCGCTGGTTAATGTTTATCTACAAAACTCTTCTTGGTCTGTCACCCCCCTACCTATGTCAGTTGCTGCAAACTACAACTGCTGTTTACAACACCTGTTCTGCTCACCATGTTCTGTTGAAAGTACCCAAAACAAATACTGCACTTGGTCAGCTTTTAAGAACTCTATTACGGACATTTTTACTGACACATGCAACCGTTTCCTGACACAGTAGATGCCCTCACCCCTGTTTGTCAGCTGTTAATATTTGGTGTCATATATGTGTCATATGTTGCCCATCTTTAATATGTTGTGGTTGCTTGTTAGTGGTAAGTGTGTTGTAAATGTTTGTGTTGTTGTTGTTTTAACTGTTGTTTGTTTTTTTGTTTTTCTTAACTTTTGATATTCCTTTTTAGCCCTCCATCCCCCTTCCCTCAAGAGGCTCTGCCTTTTGCCAGGCCGCCATTGTAAATAAGAAATTGTTCTTAATGACTTGCCTGGTTAAATAAAGGTTAATAAATAAATAAAAGAATATTGTTGGGTTTTGGATTGTTGGGTGTAAGAAAACAAAAGCAAGTTAGAGGCAAAGGCTTCCTTTGCCTCCAGTCATTGGGCACGTCCTGGACCCCTGGGCACACGTAGGTGCTGAGGGTGCTGCAGCACCCCCTATTGACATGAGGTGGAACAACACATTCTGTAAATACTTGGCTATTTTATCATAACTCATGTGCATTTGTTTTTGATTATAAACAGCATATGATAAAGTGCCTGTCAGAGGCTATATGAAAACAGATGTTAATAGCATGCAAAACTAATTGATTCCTCTGATCTGACATGATAACATCATTTCATCACAGTGCCAGGGTCAGGGTTCGCTCATGGGGCAGCTAAACTTGGGAAGATATTTGTGAAAGCAGGAGTTAATCAATAGCGTGGACAGCCTGAGAAAGACCAACAATTTCCCAGGATAGTTTGGAAACTGCTTTTTAAATTGAATATAATTAATGATAAAATATCTTGGACATGGGCTTCCACTGTGGGGGCATATCCATCAGGATGGAGTTGCACAGCAGCTGCTGATGGACCGAATGACGATCAGACGTGTTATGAGTGGCTTCAGCAAACAGACAACTGGATGTCCGACACCATTCAAAGTAAATACAGTCTTGGCACATGCAGTCCAGAGAGAAAATGTGTCTGAGCCAAGAGCGCTTTGGACTAATGCAGGGGTGTCCAAACTGTTTTGAATGGGGGCCCGATTAGATAATGTGAGAATACCTGAGGGCCAGCTGCCTCCCGCATCATATGGGTTATTGAAAAAAATACATACAATGGACAAATTTTTAGTGAAAAAGTATTCAACTTTCCACAACTCCTGAATCACAGGGGCCCTTGATTTGATGCTTCTTTACTGTGACCATGTCTGCTACCTAACAGGAACACCTGGTGTTAGGTGTTAATAAGGGCCGTTTAAAATCGGTCTGAGGGCCATAACTGTCCCCTGAGCTGGACTTTGGACATGACTGGACTAATAGAACCACTGATGTAGGTATGATTGAGCAGTTTTCCTGTAGCATCTTAAACCAGTCACCAGAATAAATGTTCTAATTGTAGATTTCTGCAAAACACGGATATGTAGCATTTGTACCTTATTAAGTAGCGGATATGTTGAAACTTTGGGTTCACAACACCGTGATGAAGGTGTGGTTAGGTTTAGGCACAAAAACCACTTGGTTATGGTTTGGAACAGATCACGTCTCACTAAAAACACTCAGTTTAGAGGCACACTGCCACTTGAATTAGAGTGAAAATTGTCTGTGCTTGTATTACTACATTGTGGGGACAAGTGTAAACACACCACTTTATGAGGACTCACCACCCATATGGGGACACACAGCAGGTCACCATTAAATAACATTTTTTCAGTTAAGTTTAAATGTTGATGTCGTACCTCTGACCAGTATGGTGGTGGATTTCTTGGCGGGGTTCCCCACGTTGTTGGATGCCACGCAGCTGTAGGCGCCACCGTCATCTACAGTGACAGTGGGGATGGTCAGCGTGCCGGCGTTGACGACACTTCTCTTCGGGAGCTCCTCCCCTCCTGGCCTCATCCACATCAGGGAGGGAGGAGGATCTCCGCCCGAAGCCACGCACACCAGAGTGATTGTCTCCCCCGGGTTCACCACCAGGGGGTCGTCCAGGAGGAGCTTAATGGCAGGAGGAGCTGCAGGGGAGGATGAAGGAGGAGAGGAGGTCACTTTTATTGTGTTAATCGACTTCACACGTTGTTGATTCGTAATTCTTCTGTCACTGCATTTTCATTCTGTCCTGTGTTCATATTTTACTGTTTATAATCATTTGTGAGTTTTATTTTTATATAACAACCATCAAAATTGTTGATTTAATGATAATTTAAAGATTTTATGTGCACTTTTAAAATATATTGAGCTTCAAAGTTTTTGCATTTCAAACAGCCACAGTGATTTATGGAACCAGTCTATTTCATAAATTCATCATTCTTAAAGTTATTCTAAATCTAGGGCTGCCCCACGACTAAGAATTTTCCTAATCGATCAACAGTCGTCATCAGGGTCCATCAGTGGACTAGTCTCCTGCGTGTTTCTGATATGAATGTAATGATTAAATGATATATTTTGGTGGTTTGAGTTGAAGGTGTGAGAAAGAATAGTATCAGTAACATTGTTAACACTGTGCTACATTACAGAGAAATACAAACCGTACTAATGAACCTTCATTAATATAGGCCTATATTTTATCTACAAGTGCACGTCACACACTGAGCGAGCCGCCTGTTAATGACGCTGTGGGCTAATGGGCATGTAGCTACTTCCATGTTTCAGATGATACGTCATGTTTGTAGTCGACCAATGAAGATGAGTTTACATTTCACCTTGGGTTCGTCCTTCACCTTCTCAAAATGATCCCACACTTTGGATTTCCTGCCCGACATGTTATTAACTAGCCTGTGGAATAACCGCAGGTACCAGCCCTGGAGATTAACCTGACTCCTGTCTGACTGCTGAGCGTGGACACTTCCTGTGTCTGTCCTTTCAAATTAAAGTCACACATGGTCCAGTCATATAGGTTTGGATTTATTTTGACAAGGTGCAGCTCCTGATAGAGCTTCACCTTTCTTTTTGTTTTAGTTTTTTTCTGCGAGTAAGCAACCGATGAAATCTTGCAGACTAATGACTTTTCTGATCGACTAATGTTTGGTTGACTATTAGGGGCTCTAAAAAACTCACAAAATGAGTGATTTATTATGTTCCTCTCTCTTGAAACCCAAAGTACAGTGTTGATAATTATTCTTATCTGAGTTTTCTGTAAAAATAAAAGATTCAATTCCTAGAAGTCTTGTTGGTCAGTTCAGTTCAGATGCAGGTGAATTATGGGATTTCTCCCAGACTAATGTATACATTTTTTACATTTTAAAAGGTTTTAAATTTGTCATCCTGTGTAAATAATCCAGAAAGCTGCAGAGTCAGAGTTTAAAAGCTTCCAGAGAGAAATAAAAAGCTGCAGAGTGACTCGCTGCCTCCACCAGCTGCACATGACGAGCTGCAGAAAAGCAGCTAAATGCAGAAATAATAATGAGGGAGATAAAAATAGCTGAGTCGACCTCTGTTAAGCTGACATCATGTAAATCCCATCAGCCCCCGGGGTGGGGCGGCAGGATCTACTGTACAGGTCAGAGAGCCACAGTCCGAGCTCAGAGAGGAAGATGATTTATTTATGATTTACATTCAGCCAACTGTACACGCAGCACAGGTACAGAGACAGATTAAAGACATAATACAGGGACAAAGAATTTAACTCAAGTATGGACGTCGGTTTCTGCAGGGAAAAGATAAAACTGATGACGAGGAATTATGATAATAAAACAAACTCATGGTGAGTCAAAATTATGAGGTACAAAGTAAAAGTTTGGACTTACTCAGCATGAGATGAAGCAAAACTTTAATTTAGTGTATAAAACACTGAGTCATAATTGGTTTAGTTAACTTGCACAATAATTAAAAAAGTACATACAATTAAAAAAACAATAATTTCACAACAGGAGACGAAGGAGGCCTGAAAGTTTTTTAATCATAAAATACAACTTCTTTAATTAGAAATATAATTTAGACTTCTTTTCTCGCCCTGAATTTGATTTAAAGTAATTTCAATTCAGCGTGTGTATTTTTTTTTAAATTTTGTCTTCATCTATTTAATTTCTTTCACAAACTTTAGAAGGTGTTTCACAGGAAAGAAAATAAATAAACATAAAAGGACGGTAAAGACAGCAAAGAGGACACTCGTAAGAAGACACATTTTTTAAAAAGGTTTTCCAAAATGTACTTAACTTGAATTATTATTTTTTCAGTTACAAGAAAAGTGTTTTTTATTTAATTTGTTTTAATTTGTTTTTATTTTAATTTGTTTTCACCCGCCTTCACACATTATCCAGCTCACAGTATTTCCTGACGACTGAGTGAATAAATTTTAGGAGGGGAAAAAAACATCAATTTTAAGTTCAATTGATTAATTCAAATTATCATAGAGATTGTAATTTCTTGGAAACAGTTTCCAGTAACTTTATTCATACAGAGGGAATACAAAGTTAGTGCAGGTGTGCAGTGCAGATACAAAGCATGCTGTTAATGCTGTTTAAAAATGTTTAGTTTAAAATGTGCACGAAGCAGAACAAAAAAAATAAATTCATATTTCCATGAATACATGGAGAAATAGTTTAATTCATCAAAGTTTAATTGTAAATCTCATATGACTAAGTTGATATATTAAGGGTAAAGTGTACATGATTACAGAGGTTGAAGCTACCAAGGTATTGAGTTCATTGCATAGCAGCACACCTGACGGTGTATAAATAAAGATGAGTTAAATCTTTATTTATACACCGTCAGGTGTGCTGCTATGGCAGAATTTACTGCAGGACAGTGTAAAGCACGATGTTGAGAATGTCTCGCTAGCCTCAACATTTGTTTCGTAAACGTCTGAGGCTAAAGTGGAAGGTCAGAAAGAGTCAGAGAGAGGTTTGGAGAACTTAAAGAGCTTTGGGGAACTCTTTTCTTTTCACTTTGTTTCTCATTATCGCACTGTCCGCCATTTTGTTATCTCTTCTGTCATGTTATACTTCGTACACTGTATTGATCCATTCTCTGTTATGTTTATTCTTAAAAATAGTTTTCACTGCGTGACAAGGAGGAGACGCTTCAGAGAGACAGACATGCCCGAATAGACGCCTGTTTGAGAGAACCGACCTGTGACTGTGTTGCTGTGAGAGGAGCTACATGTGCAGTGTTCAAGGAGTAAAATAACAAAGCAGAAAGCAAATGCAAATATAAAATATAAATATAAAACTCAAAATACAGGAATAGAAATTCAATATAAAACTAGATAACAGTAAGGTACAAAATATAAAAACTAACAGTAAGGTAACAAAACTAGTGTGGTATAAACCGATATAAGACCTGTAATCAACTGTGTGTAGATAGAGTGTTTGTACAGCTGAGTATCTGCAATCACATCCTGTACTGAGTTCATATAGCACATAAAGTTGTCTTTGTTTGAATAAGTGAAGCTGTAAGAGACAATTGAGTAATACACACACACACACTGTGACTGCCAAGATGTTCGTGTGTTACACTCCTGAGTGTAGAGAGACTCCTTCCTGCATTGTGTTTGGTCCCCAGTGCTCAGCAATGAGGACGTAAATACCAGGATGGGACAGATATCTATTAACCCTGAAGTATCGGCTGGAGAGGAGGAGCAAAGTGATTGATCCCTTATTAGGAAACCTTTATTAGGGATGCACAGCAATGGATTTTTTGCCAATATCCAATATGCTGATATAAAGCAACTCATTTGGCCGATAACTGGCACCGATACAGATATATCCATATATTGTGCAACTTTCCTCCTCGAATCCTCTGATTGAATATACCTCGTTCTTCTGTAGGCTTGTTCCCTGGTTTTTTATAAGCATTTTAATTTATGTAGGCCTACTGATGTAATACCCTGGTTTAAAACGATATATTTGTGTTTGCATTGCGTGTTGGTGTTATTTAATTGTCTGATTTATTTGCCTTTATTAAGACTTTTCCTTTAAAATTTGAAGGAAAATCATAATTAACAGCCTTTTGTTTTTTCTCAGGGTGGTTTTACATTTTGGTGGTTTAAGAAATTTGTAACACAGATGTAAAAACGTGTTTTAAAGCCCTGATGAAGACCTGCAGTGGTCGAAACATGTTGGCTCATTTAATGATTTAGCCACTACAATAAAGGCTTCTTAATACTTCCTCCCTCATTTTCTATATTTTTGCAGTGCCTGGATCGCCTTCCTGTGTATCCTGTTGTTTCCTGCTCTCCATGAGCACTCGACACAAGGTTTTTATCTATGTCTGATTTCACAGAGCAACCAGTCGTCTCTCTCTTTTTCTAAAAAAAAAACATATATATATATCCGTTTGTCATATCAGCAAAAATCGGCATGTTGGCCGATTCCAATATTTTATTTCAAAGCCAATATCGGTCGATACTGATGATGTGCTGATAATATCCTGCATCCCTAACTTTATGAACAGAAGCCTTTTGAAGAGTTGAAATGCTAACTTGATCCCCCTCAGGGGAGAGGGGAGATTCACCACAAAGGGAATTGGAGACACGGTGATTGATCAGGTATTGACAGGCAGGATGGGCTGTGCTTAAAGCAAAATCTATATAAGTGACCAACAAACCAACAAACAGGCAGACAACTCAGCAAATTTATCTCACCACAGATCTTTGTGATTGCAGTAAAGATCTTGAGGCTTCATATTTGCCTTCAAGAACTAACTAGCTAACAGTAAGCTGCTAACAGTAAGGTGTGAATAAGTGTAAAACATACACAATAACACCAACAGGTTACCAGTGAAAATGATAAATATAATATGGTTGCTTATAAATATGTTTCTGCAGTGTCAGATCTGAGGTAGTTGGTGTAAGAGTGTCAGTGTCTGTGGGTTATAGTTAGAACGGTGACTGTATTTGTGTTAGTGTGTGTGTGTGTGTGTGTGTGTGTGTGTGTTACCTGTTCTGTTGTTGAGACCAAAGTGGGCGCTCTTGTCTCCGATGCCGCAAACGTTCCTGACGGAGGCGATGCAGGTATAGCTGGCGTAATCCTGAGGACGAAGGTTCTTCAGCTTCAAGATCTTCGTCTCACCCTGTAACACACACACACACACACACGTTTGTCTTGTTATACATGTGAGGACCCTGACTGGCATGCTGCCTTACCTGGACCCTAACCCTAAACATAACCTGAACCTTAAAACCAAGTCTTAACTTTCAAACTGTCCTTTGAAGTAGTGAGGACTGACTAAAATGTCCTCATAAGGCAGAAATGTCCTCACAACGATAGCGCAAAATTAAAAATCTGCATCTTTACCATACATCCATACTGTATCTCTGACAACTGTTAAAATGTCTTAATGACTAACAATTAATTCAGATGTTTAAAATTTCTGCAAAAAGATTTTTAATTGATTTCAATTTATTAATTGAAGTTCATTGAAGTTATCTGTTTACCAGTGTATCATAATCAGATTTTCTTTGTATATACATTCTGAATAATTACACTGGCTAACACATAAACAATAGCCAGTGCAAACAAATAAATTATTTGTAATTATTAACTGTAATTATAAATTGTAATTATTGATTATTGATAAATTATCTTTCTTTAATTCTCTTTTTAATGGTCGCTCTATAACTCATTTTCAGTGCTGTCATGACACTCTTTAAAAAGAGTTGTTTTGTTTTTTTTAAATTAAAATGACACTTTTGTTTTTGAAACTTATAAAGATAAGATGAATAAGATAATGAAATTTAAATTCATACTGAAATAATAAATGTTATTATTTCAATATGAATTTAACTTTAACATGGATAAAACAATAAATAACTAAAAATATAAAACTAGTAGTGAGTAAGTAAACAATTTTTTTAATCAAATTTAAAAGTTAGTAGAATTAAACATAAAATAATAATAACAAATAAATAAGATTTCCTTTGAGACATTCATGAGTTACAAAGTGAGAAATTATTCTGGCTTAATTACTTCACAGTACAGTATCATTAATCTATATTTTGATTTCTATTTCTTTTTTTCTGTTAATGTATTTTAGTTTTTTTTCTAAAGGTGTTGTGATTTGCACTTCAGGGCCACTGTACAAGATTTAGAAAAGGTCTCTCACAGTTTAAAACTTCAGACTTTTTGATGTTCTTTATGTAAATCGAGAGAAATCAGCAGATATTCAGCAGATCAATCAGCTCTATTCTCTCTATTCTGTCCCAGCCTGAGTTCCTCCTCATCCTCCTCTTCCTCGTCTTCTCCCTCATTCCACCTCCTCTTCTCCTTCCTCCCTCTCTCCCTCCTCCTCCTCCTCCTCCTCCTCTTCATGTCTCCACCTCGCTGCCAAATCTCTCTTATCTCCTCTGGCAGCCTCTGCGCTGCCTTCCGCCTCACGGACAGATGAGATGAGATTAGATGACATTTAAATGGGATGTTTGTGCAAAGATGGAGGCCAATTTTTGGGGGGATGATGATGATGATGATGAGAAGGAGGAGATAAGTTCCTCATTAGTGCCTGCGAGGAGTGAGGAGGGAGGGGTTAACAAGTTCTCCAGCTCGACGCTGAAGGCATTACAGTCGACAGCGTTCAAATCTGGCGTGAATGTTATCTCTGCTGCGGCATTACACAGCCCGCTAACTGGCCGCCTGATTGGCCGGCTTCCCTTTGCTCCAAATTAAATCTAAACCATGGCCAAAATTTAAAAAAGGACAAATCTGGAATCTCCATCTGCAGAGGTTTTTAATCCACACGAGGAGGAGGAGGAGGAGGAGGAGGGGGAGGAGGGGGAGGAAGGCTTAACTACAGGACAGATCGGCTTTTTCAAACTGTTGAACTCACTGACGGAGGATCCACAATGAATATTTAAATTCACAGAATAAAACAAGAAAGGGAGCAGGAGAGGGTCAAGGTTCTGTGTTGGAGCTGAGAAAGATCAAATGTGGAGGTAAAAATAAAAACCACCACAGAACTACAATCCCTGATGTAAGAAAATCAGCAGAAGTCCCTTAGTTCACTCTGAGTAGTTTGTAGTCGTAGTCATTTTATTTAAAAAATTAAGACTCACATCAAAAATAAATAACTTCCTGCAGTGTTGGAGGGTGCGTGGGTACATAAATACATCTTCTCTTCATGTGAAAAGATTTACACATGTTGGGAGATTGTAACAACATCTAATCCTTAGTGACATCTCAGGGTTTGAAATCACCAACCAAAATGTTGGCTTTTTACAATTCTACAAACCACAGATATGTCACAGTTGCAAGTTATCATGTAGCAGACACATTTAAACTTTGTGATTCAACAACGCTGTGGTTAACATGTGATTAGGTTTAGGCACAAAGATCTATTGCGTTGGCTTAAAATGCATGGTTTAATCCCAGCAGGAAACGCAGAGATGTCTCGGTAAAAAGCTTTTTGTGGCACTGTCTCTGCTGCAAAAACAATCTACATTTGGTGGCTAAAAAGCCGGTGGAAACGCAGCAATGACTCGCTAGGTGTCACACCATCCACCAGCCCCTTCACCTCCTCGTGACAAAAGCCCATATTACACAGAGGTTACGCAACAGAGCCGCTACAAAGTCCCTTCTTTATGCCACCTTTGTATTTTTGCACAGAACCAAACAGCAACGGTTTTATGCTGCTCCAGTGTGTGGCAGCATGTTGGCATCACAGAATCAAAAGAGGTGTGACATGTAACACAACAGCGTCGGCCTCTCGTGAGACATGTAACGCACACGTAAACGTAGCTTTATAAGAAATAACAATGGCATAAAATGTCAATAACAATGGTTTATGGTAAATGGACTGCACTTGTCAACCACTTAAAGGGCTTCTACACTACATGCCACATTCACCCATTCACACACTGGTGGCTGAGGCGACCATACATGGCACTCAGTAACCACTCACTTGCACTGACACACTGATGGATCAGCCATCAGGAGAAATTTGTTGAGTGTCTTGCCAAGGATACTTCGACATGAGAACTAGAGGAGCTGGGGATTGAACCTCGATCTTTGGATTAGTGGATGACCCGCTCTGCCTCTGAGCTATAGTTGCACCACTGTCTCCGTTACATGGCGGCTGATCTCAACCTCTGCTCGAAGGGTAAGGAGCTCTGGACCTCACTGTTTTCCCAATTTGCAGATTTTTTCAGCTGCTGTCCTTCTTTGAGTTAGCTGCTAACTGCTATCAGCTACTTTTTAAATCGCCCATGGTGGGTTGCACACATGATATGTCATCAGAACATCACACCTGCGCTACCCATGATCCTGTCTTACCAGATATCACGTTAATACATCGTTTCAGCACTGTTACTACCTATGTTCCCAGGTCAGTGGCGAGACAACTGTGTCACGCATTCTGGGATCTTACCTTTTATACCGAATCGCAAGGTGGCATAACGGCATAATATTCCCACCTTTAACAGGCAGTGCAAAAGGGGCCATAGTCACGTGCAAATGTAAGGTATTCATGATTTACAGAAATGTTTCATGCCAACATTTTGTGATGGCAACTGTGCTGTTAATTCTTCTAGACGTAAGTAAAATATTGCCTGTGTTCCAATAGCCGTACTAACATACTATATAGTATGCCAGAAAAAGATTCAGTATGTCCAAATACACAGTATGTCAAATGCAGTGTGCCAAAAAAGCCAGGATGTTCTACTACATCTGGTCTGATTTTGCAGCAACCACAATCCTCTGTTCAGCGGACGATACTTCACAATGACTGAGCCTCAAACAGATGACAGCTGACTGATTGACAGCTCTCAGAAGTCACAATGACAGATGACAGCACATTCAAGTAACTGATGACCAGTCGAACAGTAAAAATAGGAATATTAATTGTTTAAGTGAACAATATAATCAGAAATATTACAAACAAAAGGACATAACTATAGAAATCACAATGACAGACACCTGCAGTTATAACTTTAAAGTTAAACTACACACATTGCAAAGTAACAACAGCAGAGCTCTCCAGGTTGATCTTCGTCTCTGGTGAACTTGGTAAGTGGCATTTGTTTTATGTCCAAGTTAACGGATATAAAAGCAAAAGGGTCAAAGTTCAGGGCATAACTTTATGAGGAAGTAGGTCCGATTCTGTGCATACTGCATGCGACAGTACTTTTTAAGGGCAGCTGCATTATCAATTATTAAGATTACATTCTTTGGTAAATATAAATGCAATATTGGGGTGATTGGCTTATTTACATTAATAATGGCAAACACATATATACATGCCTTTTGGATTTTTTTATTCCTTATTCCATGTCCGCCTATAATTCATGTGTGTTTAGGTGTATACATTTTTTAAAAGGAGCAAGGTATTGATGAAATCTTTGCTGTATGTGTTCAACAATTGTCTGTGAACATTCAGTACAAATTTGGTGACATTCTGATAATTATTTCCCGAGATTCATGTGATAAGGCAGACACTGTCCCTTTTAGAGAAGCCTCAATTTTGACTATTCATACTATTTCACAACAAAATGTAAACTAGAGACATAGAGGAAGTCAAAAATACCATAATTGTTTGGTCCCTTTAAGTGATTTGTGAAAATTAGCCCCTTGGCCCCTGGACTACACACTAAGTAAAATGCACCCTGTATCTTGTATAGAAGAAGTCGTACTAAAAGATGAAATGTATCAGTTTAAATCCTGGCTGCCTGCAAAAAGCAATAAAGACTGGTATAAAAAGCCAACCTCCACCCGTCTACATCATGTGAACTGTTTTTTTCTTGTCTATAATGTTGTTTCCACCTTACTCCTCATGTAAACCTACATATACAGAGCCTCTGGAGAGAGTCAGAGTGGGGTCATGGTTTCTGTTGTTGTTGATCTGTGCTGTTAGTTTATGTATTTATTTATTTATTTATTCTACTTACATGGTTGGGATATGCTTTAGAGATGAATTGCCCTTTTGGGACTATTTAAGTATTCTGAATCTGAATCTGAAAAGGAACCTCAGTCTTAAATAATGGAGGGAAATAGTAAAGACTATATACTGTATGATGGAACTGCTGACATTATCTCTGAGGAATGAGAAAAAGAAAGACCCCAGGAAACAGGACGGATCTTCTTCACAAGGACGATGTTATATCTGTATCTAGATCAAATAAATTGATTTTAAAATGAAAATATATATTAAATGTTCAAATAAAGAGTGAAAGTATCATTCATTATTATTTATCTCCTCTTCCTCCGCTGCTTCATGAAGCCTGAACGTCACTAAAAAGATTTATTCTAAAGATAATATAAAGAATTTGGTGAATCGATGACATTTTCATCTTCTAAAAATAGAAGTAAACCTGAGGTATAAACCCGTCGAGGTTTGGATGTCTGTGTGAAGCAGAAATTGGACAAAAATCAAACTATGAGCTATTTCAGTCGGCAGCTGATGGACATTAATAAAGCAGATCCACTGAGAGTTAAACTGAGACGAAACAGACTTTAATTGATGGAGCTTCAACAGGACAAGGCGTCCTGGGAGACAGCGAGACGTCACTCTCAGACACAGAGTAGAAATCACCATGAAATGTTCCTGTGTCTCTGACAGTTTGTGGTTTGGACAAAGTAAAAAAGCTCCACGTTGTGTGTCTGTGTAAATATAACAGGAAGTTAGTGGAGCTATATATGAAACAATATGATGCCAACATTTAAAAATAGCTCCGGTCTCATGAGCGCTGTGATGACGGTTTCTGAAAATGACTTTGAAAACAAACCGGAGAGAAGAAATGTTTTTCTGATTGCATAACACCAACTGTTTCTCTTGAAATTATGTTTATACACAGCTGAACGTCTCTCCATCTACTTCCTGTGTTTTATCCAGAGCTGCACTCACAAGGTAGTCCAAATGTCCCTCTAACGACCAACGTCCTCCAGCTCCTCGTGGAGGATCCTGAGGTGTTTCTAGATCAGATGGAATAAATAATCCATCCAGTGTCTCCTACCAGCTACATGTGCCCAGAAAACCTCCAAAGGGAGGCGCCCAGCAGGATCCTGATCAGATACTGAACCATCCTTTCGAATGCGAGCACCCTGCGGATATCTGAGCTCCTCAGCTCGTCTCCAGGGCTGAGCTCAGACACCCTGCAGAGGAGACTCATTCCAGCTGCTTGCATCTATGATCGCATTCTTCTGTCACTATGTAAAGCTCAGGACAACAGCTGAGGGTTCCATCCACTGGTAAATGGGAAGCTTCACTCCCTCATTACCACAACAGTCCAGTACCATGCCAGCATCACTGCTCGCAATCAAGAGTCAGAGAGCTTGCCAGATGGTTTTGCCAAATATGTTTTGGAAGACACACAATTGTCTCACATTTTTCCAGCTGAGAAGAGTTTTCAGTTCCTATATGATACTGAAGTCACAGGTCAGAGTTCACAGGTGTTCACCTGTTGATGGTTGAGATGCTAGAATACTTTTGTTAGATCAAAAAAGACGGTGGTTGTGGTTAAATGTCTCGTACTCTAAGGGTGCTTTCACACCTGTCCTGTTTGGTTTGGTTCAATCAAACTCAAGTTGGTTTGCCCCCTCAGTATGACTTGTTTGGGCAGGTGTGAACACAGCAATCACATTCAGGTGTGCACCAAAACAACCGGACCGAGACCTTCTTGAAGAGGTGGTCTCGGTCCGGTTACAAACGAACTCTGGTGCGGTTCGTTTGTGGTGAGAAGGTGTTCTGACTTTGAACACTGACAAAACAACTGTCTTGTCTCGACTGTCCCTGAACCTTGTGAGATGTTATGGAATCGGATTTTGTAATGTTACCTTTGTTAAATGTTGCTGTTGTCCCTGGATTCATATGAGTAGAGGAAAATTCCGCTATCCACTAAGCTAATTTATACAATGTAAAATGCCATAGGCTTGTGCTAAAAACATTAGCATGTTGTATTTGTAGGGAAAATGTGTCCAGATAAAGAGAAGTGTTTGTCTGTGAATGCTGCGAGTTATAGTGAAGCTGATTTGTGTACTTGTGTTTGAAATTGTCTCTATTAAGCCATGTTTAATGTGTAAGCTCTGCATACAGCTGACGCACAATTATAAATCCTACTTAAGGTAACAAAAACATAACAATTCCTATTTTCAGGTGATTACACACTAAAGAAAACATCCTTATTATATTATATTCCATTTCTGCCAATATATCCCCCTAAATCCAACACGCTGGACCTTTAACACACTTACTGTGATGTCGTTTTGGATCAAAGTGTCTGAGTAAAACAGAATGTGATGATCTTTGTGTGTGCCATCTATGACTGCAGATAATTTTAACCTAACTTCAGGAGATATGAATCCATCTGCAAATCATCTGAGGTGCACTAAGATCAATTCAGAGTTTGATTTATTACTTCTGAAAAGACGTGACAGACACAAAATCTTCACCGCTGCAAAAGTTCATTTTCTCTGTCGCCAAAAAGTGTCACAGGTTTCTGTGTTTCTGTCAAAATGACGTGTATTTAATCAGCTCCTGTGCTACAGAAGGTCTTTGTCCAAACTCCTGACAGGTTCCTTCACCTCTGGAGTTCTCCTAGATACAGATACAAGTGCAGAAAGTCCCAGTACAATGTTACAAAGACATAAACACAGACCCTCAGTTCATATTAGGCTGGGCAACATAACCACTATGTACGATTTATCTATATATTTTCATGCAAGATATAAATTTAGACAACACTGTTTATATCGATATAGGGTCAAGGGTCAAGAGTTCTGTCACACTCTCTGCACAGCTCTGCCCCCATCAGTCACTCACAAGTTCTCCATCGACACTCAGAGAGACACAGCGCTGCTCCTCTGTTTAATCTGTCTGTTCAGTAGTCTACAGTGAGACATCGGTCTGTATGTTGCACGTGCTACGCTAATCAGTATGTGAGATGGATGAAGTTACTGCAGCAGCACATGCACTCTACAACACTGTGGGCCTTTTCCACTGTCACTTTGGGCCATGCTGATTTACGTTTCCATTATCAGTTTAGACACGCCGAGCTGCACCAGAGATGGACCTGCTCTGGAGTAGGTCCAAAAACCGGGCTCCCTACCCTCAAGTGGGTAGCAGTGATGTCTCACCAACCACAGCCAACACCCGACAACCCCCGTCTGTAGCTTCTAACTGAATCTCTGTGAGTTTGGAGTTTAGTTTCTCTCCTGCGTCCTGTTTTTACTTTAGATATTTGCTTTATTTTACTGTTTCATGTTCGCCATCTGCCAGATTAGAAGTTGTGTGAAGTTGCTGTTCGAAAACTCATAAAAGTCTTTACAAAGCAAAATAATGGGGGACTTTTATTGTGAAGAAGGAAATTAGAATGTGTTTATTACTGAATTAGCAGAACTTTGTTAGCAGCTTTTCTTCAATTAAGACAAGACAAGAGTAAAAGCAGAAACAGCCACAGTGAGATGTTGATGAAGAGCTGCAGACAACAGGCTCTTACTGCACCTCTGCAAACAGCTCACCTCCAACAGGTCCTCCAAACTTCCTCCAAACTTCTTTTACCTGCCCTGCTGCCCTGCAAAAATAACAGGGGACTGCACACGTAGCCCACTTACTAGAATATACCAAGATCTGAATTTTTGTCCACAGCGCCCAGCCCTAGTTCACATAACAATACAACAGAAGGTGTGGATGTTCACCTGTGTGAAAAAGGGTTCATAGATCTCCACCCCGGAGTCGGATCCCTGCGTCAGCGCCTCCCTGCCCCTCCTCCAGGTGTAGTGGACAGGTGGGTTAGAGTTAGCGACACAGCGGAGAAACACCGTCCTCTCAAAGTAGAACTGCTCCTTCGATTCACCGACACTCTGGTGCACCGTGATCACAGGGTCGTCCAGGTCTGAGGAGGAAGAGGAGAAAAAGGAGAGGAGGAAGGAAGAGAAGGAGAGGAAGGAGGAAGGAGAGAAGAGATGAGAGGAGGAAAGTTTCTGTGTAATTTGGAGTAGAAAGGATCTGAAGTCTAATGCACTGTGGAGTCATAACCCCCCCGCTGTGCCGCAGATATAAATGTATAAACACTCGGGCTCTTCTCTGGATAAACACGGCAGCGGCAGCTGAAGTTTGTCTGAATTTACAGTTTTTCATCTCTTCAGAACAGTAGGTCAGTGTTCCTGCGGTGGGGGTAATTACTGCGGAGCCAGGGGCTTTTTAATTGGCTGGAAACACAGTAAGGTCCCCAATCAGCTGACGGCAGCCAACCAATCGCACGTCGCCGTGTTAATGAGTCCGGTTATGAAGCTGCCGCCAGCAGAGAGGCTAATGGACGCTAATCCACTTCACACAGAGCTCACGTCAAACTCCGACCTGCACACTGAACACATCACGACCCAAAAACAAGTCGCCAGAACAACCTCCCATAATGCACTGCGTCTCCTGCTGTATGTGCCGCAGCTCAGGGAGTGCTGATGAGTTATTCTGTTTCCTCCTGGAGTTTGATGTTGTGTAAAAGCCTCCGCGCCCTGAAGGAAGCACTCAGCCGCGATGCGTTCAGGTACCACTTAAATCCCTGTAATCCCAGTAAGAAACAAGCTCCAGGATATTATGGCTGTTACACAACAGCGCTCACAGCTTGCAGGTATTGTTTGTTACTTTTGGAGGAAACTTTTCAGGCGACACACATGAGGGACGGCTTTGTCGTATAAAAACACCTCCAGGATGTTTCTTTACTGGGATTACTGGGAGCTTCTACATCCCAGCTGCAACAATAAACATGAAGGTGAAACATCTCCTCTCATCAGCCAGTGCAGCTCTGCAGGGCTCGATGCTTCATCTCCACACATGTAGGTCAACAACAATCAGACACAAGGAGGACAGAACGAGGGTTCAATACCGTCAGCTGACTGAAACAACAGCAGGAAGTTACTGACTGTTCTTTAATCCACCTTAAGCTTCATTTACCTGCCAGTTTAGAGTCTGAAGTTACACTGGGACTTAAATCAGTTCAGAGTTACTGATGAACCTCCAACTCTGACTTGCAGCAGAATAAAATAACAGTTTCCATGTGTTTCCAGACGTTTTGCTAAACTAAGCTAACCGTTTTCATCTGTTTCCAGTCTTTATGTTAAGATAAATTAACTGTTTCCATCGATTTAGCCTTTTTGTTCAGCTAACTGTTTGCCTCAGTCTCTAGTCTTCATGCTAAGCTCACAGTTTCCATGTGTTCCAGTCTTTATGCTATGCTAAACTAAGCTAACTGTTTCCATCTGTCTCTGGTCTTTGTGCTAAGATAAGCTAACTTTCCATCTGTTTCTACTCTTTATGCTAAGATAAACTCACTATCTCTCCTATTCTCAGTCTTGATGCTACACTAAGCTAAGCTAGTTGTTTCCATCTGTTTTCAGTCTTAATGTTAAGATAAACTAATTATTCCCCCCGTTTTCAGTCTTTATGCTACGCTAAAATAAGCTAATTGTTTCCATCTGTTTCCAGTCTTTATGTTAAGCTAAGCTAACTGTTTCCATCATATTCCAGTCCTTATGCTAAAATAAACTAATTATTCCACCCTGTTTTCAGTCTTTATGCTATGCTAAGCTAAGTCAATTGTTTCCGTCTGTTTCTGGTCTTTATGCTCAGCTAAGCTAAGCTAAGCTAAGTGTTTCCATCCGTTTCTGGTCTTTATGCTAAGCTAAGCTAAGCTAAGCTAAGTGTTTCCATCTGTTTCCAGTCTTTATGTTAAGCTAAGCTAACTGTTTCCATCATATTCCAGTCTTTATGCTAAAATAAACTAATTATTCCACCCTGTTTTCAGTCTTTATGCTATGCTAAGCTAAGTTAATTGTTTCCATCTGTTTCTGGTCTTTATGCTAAGCTAAGCTAAGCTAAGCTAAGCTAAGTGTTTCCATCTGTTTCTGGTCTTTATGCTAAGCTAAGCTAAGCTAAGCTAAGTGTTTCCATCTGTTTCTGGTCTTTATGCTAAGCTAAGCTAAGCTAAGTGTTTCCATCTGTTTCCAGTCTTTATGTTAAACTAAGCTAACTGTTTCCATCCTATTCCAGTCTTTATGCTAAGATAAACCAACTGTTCCCCCTGTTGTCAGTCTTTATGCTACGCTAAGATAACTGTTAACTGTTCCCACTCCATCTGTTTTCAGCAGGCCCCCAGGAAGTGCACTGGGCTTTGAAACCAATTTCCATCGTGGCGTAACATTCCTGGATAATCCGGGTAATTTTCACATTCTCACTCCGACCTGCTCACATATGTTTGGTCATGGACTTTCCACGTCCACATATGGCGTCCAAGGTACCCTGGGTGTGTTGGTTGTTGACGTTCTGGGACGCCGTGTTAACTTCAGCCTGTTACATTCATTGTCTGTTTTCAAAATACACTTCTGTTTTCACAGGAAATGTACATTCAGTCTCCTTCTAAATAAACGTACTATGTTTGACTTTAAAATCAAACGAAAAGTGAACACCGGCTTCTACTACTTTCGTCCCATTAACTTGTCTTGTTGTCCCAATGCATTTCCCCCAATACAGGTAAACAATAACAACTTAACATGCCAACGTGAAAGGATGCCTTTTTCTTCATCAGTGTCTGATGCAAGAAGTCACTGCCAAAGCCCCGGTATTGGTTGACTTTAGAGTAAGAGTGGGTTAACGCTGCAGTCAAACCATTTTGGCTCCTTTCATAGGAACAAATGAGGTCCAACCTCCAACACTGTATCTTTAGGTCTCTTTAAGTTAACTGTTTCTGAACTGAAAAGTTATGTTCATCCTTTTCGCCTAAAAAACAAGTTGTCACAGAGATAAAAACAGAATAATGCAGACACCAAATGTAGTGTTTATATTTGAAGAGAAGAAAAATGAAGTTAAACAAACCATTACATTAAATTAAATCTGTAAAGAGGATTTTCTACAGTCTACAATCATCAGAGACCGTTCAGATGTACAGAGGAGTCCTCTCACACATCAAACTCTGTCAGAGCAGATTAATGACTTTCCATTGTGTGTGTGTGAATATGTATCCGTGTATCTGTGTGTGTGTTCTTACAGTAGACGTCGACTCGTATGGACCGGATGGCGGGGGATCCCAGTCCGTTCTCAGCCTTGCAGTAGTAGCGCCCCCCCTGGTGGCGGCTGATGTTTGCGATCTTCAGAGTGTCGTTGTGCAGCGATGAGTCGCCCTGACGGTCAGAAGCTCCGCCCGCCGTCTTCGTCCAGCGAATCTAAACAAGGAAGGAGAAGGTTAGTTTACTCAGCATACAGGTATTTATAAACTGGTTTGGATCAGTTACCAGTTTAACTGGTAATCACTGGTTCAGACTGGTTCAGACCATCCGAAATGTCTGGTTTACAGTGAGCTGGTGAGACAGATACAGACTGCTGTCTTTTGATTTTGACTTTTCTAGGAATTTTCTTAGGCAGACAGATGCTGGTCTATACTGGTTTATACTGGTTTATACTGGTCACACCAGTTTTTGGAGGTGCAGACATCCATTCATGTAACACATGTGGTGACTGTTGTTCTAGATGGTTCCAGATGTTACTGACAGATTATTGATGTTGGACTTAACAAAGTCCAGGTCCTGATTGTTGCAGTCAGAGCAGCTGGTGCCTGGCTCAGAGGCACTGCAGCACCAACACTGTGTGTGTGTGTGTGTGTGTGTGTGTGTGTGTG